TGTTCCACCGCAGCGAGTCAACACACGTGTATGGACAGGCTTCTAGTAATCTACACCTCCATTTCTTATCCCCCCCTTTTCTGATACTATCTTATGTCTCAGACGGCAAAACACCCAGAGGAAAGAACTTTATACACCACAATCACTCTGCATAATATCCAGACGCATCTAATAAGCACTTTCTTCAGAGGCAAAAACATCTCACCTCTACCTGGTGCTTTTATCTTTAGAAAACATTCTAATAGTCTCCTCCCAATCTGATCCTCACAACAATGCCTCCATCTTGGAGAGCAAATTGGGGCATCTTTACCCAGGGCCGAGGTTGGTCTACTTCAATCCTCAGAGTTAAGGCACTTCTCAAAACACAGACACACGAGAACACGGAGGCCCCATGTACGTTTCCTGCCGCAGTGCCTCGGGATGGCCCCTTTCCGGGAAAGAGGAAGGACTTGGACCGAGGCTCATGTTGGAGGCCTCAGTGTGACTGACTGATGGAGGCTGCCTTGAGTAGTGTGGCTCAAGCAATTAGGTGCCCCTGGACAACACTGCATGGCCATTGTCATGGGCGATGGGAGCGTTTGCCATCCCTAACCTGGTTATGCTCTTCCTACCTTTCCCAGAGCAGGGTAACGGAGCGTCACGGCCCAGAGGCACAGGTCTTTCCTGGCAATGACCCGGGCCGCCCGATGTCCAGCTGCAAGCAGAGCAGCACGCGGTGAAGGGCTGACGCAGGTCCCCCTTCCTCTCCAACTCCGGAAGCAGGTTTAGAGCATGGCACTGCCCGACAGGGAGACCACGGCGTATACTCACCAGCAGCAGGGCTTCCAGCTGGTTAATGTAGATCTCTTCACTGGCCAGGAACCCCGAGAGAACCAGCTTCCTCATCTCCAGGCCTTTTCCTGCTTCCACCTGCACGAAAACAAAAAAGCCACCAGCTCATGAGAAACGAGGCCAAAATTGTGAGTGGTCTGCTTTCTAGCCTTCTTTAAGCCATCACTCTCTTAGGACACCAGGCAGCATTAGAAAAAAACAGGAACATACAAAAATGTATGATGGACTCAGGCATACGCTGAGGAAAAACGGCCATCCCTGTTTCCACTGCTAACACCTCCTTCGTTAGCTCCTTGTCATCTCCCTCCTGTCCGTTTCTGCATTTCCGTATTTGATATTCATCCTTCCATCCGCCCATCTGTCAGCCTAGCCAACCTGATGATGGTGAGCAAGGCAACAGAGAACCCGCCTGGTGTCTGGTGGGCAGCTTAATGGGGAGGGGATCAAGGGGCTTCGGAAGGAAAGTCAGAGTCGTGACTGAGGCAGGGTCTGGTCACATGGGAGGGCACAGCAGGGGATGGAATCTCACTGTAGGGGACAGAGGGGACTCTCAGAGGCAGTGGCACGTACATCAAAGAGAATAGGGGTAGGGACCAGCAGTTAGCATAGTGGCTATGTCGCTGGACTCCCATGTAGTCGACCATGGTTCACGTCCCAGATCCAGTGACTTAAAACTCACGCCGGGCGCGTGTGCATGCCCAAGATCCCGAGAGGAGAATGGAGGAGAAGGGATTGTGGCGTGGCCATCCCCCCTGGGGGGTGATTTCTCGCTTTCTATCTCTCTGTCTCTCTCTTCCTGGCAAGCACATGTGCCCTATAGCGAAAAACCTCTCCAAAAAAAAGAGAAAAGAAAAGAAAAAAAAAAAGGAGAACAGGCGTAGAGAAGACAGGATGGAAGTGGGTGTGGGAGCCGCAGCCTGGTGGCCTTCTAGCTGTTCTTCTGAGGGTATCCTCCTGTCTCCAGGAGGCTCAATCCCACAACAGAAGGTGCCTGTTGTGGGCCCCTCAACCTTACCCCTGCAACCTGCGCTCCAGCATTTCCTCCTCACCCCACTGAGTAAGGCACAGAGCCACCCCAGCCTCGTCCTCCCTCCAGAATTCCTGCCCCTCTATGGCAATCATGCCCTAGCTAGCCCTGAAGGCCCATCCGTTAGCACTGTCCAGGACAGAGAAAAGCCAAAAACTTTCCTCATGGAGAAAAATGTCTAATTCTTCTGGTCATCCAGAACCCCCAAGAGTCATTCCTGGCCCCTTTCTCCTTCTCCCTCCCTCCCTTCTGCCACATAGAGTCCCCAAGCCTTTTGAAGCTTCCCTTGCTAATCTCTCACTGCAGAATCTCCTACCTGCTCTCTCCCTCTCGCCCCCTCCTCCCTCCTGTGAACGCACCAGCGCTAGATCAGTCTTCTAAGAATGCTATCTTATACCGATGCTTGTCAAGGACATGGTATTAATACTGAAAATGTGGTTATTTGGGGATGCAATTAGGTTGTTAGTTCTTTTTTTTTTTTTTTTTTTTTGGTCCAGAGGGCACATGTGCCCACCAGAGAAAGGCAGAGTGAGATGGGGAAAGTGAGAAAGCATCCCTTGTGAAACATGGTCATGCTACAATCCCTTCTCCTCCATCCTCCTCTAGGAATCTTGGGCACGCACACACACGTGCCCGGCGCGAGTTTAAGCCATTGGGTCTGGGAACTGAACTGCAGTCGACTACATGGGAGTCCAGAGACATAGCCATTATGCTAACTGCTGGTCCTTTACTATTTCTGTAATATCCTTGCCTACACCCTGGATCTTCTCTTTAAAAAGACAGCTGAGGGGCCTGCAGGTGGCACGGTATTTGAGGCGCTGAACTCCCACATGGCCAACCACGGTTTTAGTCCCAGAGCTGGCGGCTTGCTTTCTCACTTTCCCTCTCTCTGTCTCTCTTTGGCCAAATTAAGAAATAAATAAAATTCAATATATAATTCTTTCTTAAAACAAAACAAAACACACAGTTGAGGGCCAGCAGGTGCATGGAGGTTAAGGTGGCTGATCTCACATGACCCACAGCATGCTTTGAGTCCCAGACCCAGCAGCTTGAAAAACACACTAGGTGTATGTACCTGTGTGCCCAAAATCCTAAAAGGAGAATAAAGGAGAGGAGACTGGAGAATGCTTATCCCTCCTGAAGAGTGATTTCTCACTTTTCCGTCATCCGTCTCTCTCTCTGGTGAGCACATGTGCCCTATGGCACACATATATACACACGCACGTGTGCATGTGTGCCCAAGATCCCAAGAGGAGAATGGAGGAGAAGGGATTGCGGCGTGGCCAATCCCCCTGGGGGGGTGATTTCTTGCTTTCAGACTCTCTGTCTCTGTCTTTCCAGCGAGCACATGCGCCCTATAGCAAAATCGTCTCAAAAGAAAGAAAGAAAGAAAGAAAGGAATCTTTAAAAAAGAAAAAGAAAATGGCCTAAGCCCGAGAACAGCTACTTTCCCCTCTTGGACGACCTGCCCATGTGCTCTCACTGGCGTTCCCACCCTTTCCCCAGGCGAGGGGCTTAATCCTGTGCTCCCGTTAGCAGCTCAGGCGGCACATCTGCACTTAGGGACTGCTGCTCCTGGTCTCTGAAACGCTGTTAGACCCCACTAGGTAGAAAATGACCACCCCAAGATGTCCACATCCTACTGAAACCTGTGAATGCGTAACCTTCTATGACAAAAGGGACTTTGCAGGGACGATTACATTGGAGGTGGGGAGAGTATGCCGGATTATCCAGGTGGGCCCTATGTGACCGCAGGAGTTCTTAGAAGAGAGAGGCAGGTTCTTAGAAGAGAGAGGCAGGCGGGCCAGTCACAGAGATGGAGGAGGTCTGCAGGGGGATGAAGACAGAGCACAGGACCATGCGCCAAAGAACATGGAGGGGGGTTCTGAAGCTGCAATGGGCAAGCAAATGGACCATTTCCCTAGAGCTTCCAGAAGCAACGGGGCCCTGCTGCCCCTCTGGAGACTCCCGTAGGAGAGAATAAATGAGTGTTGTTCTACACTGGTAAGTTTGTGGCGATGTGTTTCAGAGCATTAGGAAACCGAAACAGACCCCGAGCTTTAGGAAAGAACGACAGTTATTACTGAAGGCTTCACAAGCAGGCATTGTGCTAGGCCCTTTCCATGGATAAACTCCCTGGAATCTCACCATCTGGTAGGTGTCGTCATTGTCCCCCTGGGGCAGAGGGTTAGAAACATCGGAGCAGCCCCTTACCCTTACGGCAGTACAGACACCAGCATATCTCAAAGAAGAAAACAGTCGGAACTTGGAGCTGACTTCCATCAGGTGGTCAGGTGGGTCAGGTCAGGTCGACCCTAGGTGGCCTCCCTGCTGTTTCCCAAGCCTGACAAATGGGAACCCGCCCACCACTGGGGGCCGTGCTCCCCTACTGTGCACACTCACATCCTGTTCCCACCAACCAAGGCTTTGCCCCGGGGCTTGGCAAACACCCTCAAAGGAAGTCACTTGGGGCACTGAGCTTAACTGTCAAGCTGGCTCAACAAGCACTGAGGTGACGCCTTGCTCTTACAGCCCTGGCCACAAAACCAGCCTTCCCTTACCCTGCCATGCACAAGGCTCTTAGCCCTCAAGACTCCTGCCTCATAATCCAATCTCCAAGGGCTGGTTGTGAAGAGAAGGCAGCTCAGGAAGACTGACTCCCAAAGGGCAATAAAATAGTCCTCTACCCAGATCCCCTTCTGGGCCATATTCACTTTGAAGTTTTGGCTGGATGGGTGCAGAGGTGCTGAAGAGCTTAAGGATATAGAGGAAAAATTTGTAAGAGAGATTTTTGCTATAGGGTATGTGCACTCACCAGAGAGACAGAAATCAAGAAATCACCCTCTGGGGGGATGACCACGCAGCAATGCCCTCTTCATTCTCCTCTCAGGATTTGAGCCATGCACGCACAGGCACCCAGCATGAGTTTCAAGCTGCCGGGTCTGGGATTTGAACCACAGGCAGTCATGTGGGAGTCCAGCGACATAACCATTATGCCATCTGCTGGCCCCAGTATATAAAATTAAATTCTGCATGTTTTATTAACAGTTGGTCAGTACCAACCAAAGGCTTCTTTCATCTTTGCTTTCCTCAGATGCCACGTTACTGCTTTAGAATGGTCTGAAATTGACAACTGTTTCTTGTGGGACTGGTCTTGTCTCATAACACACCAGAGCTCAACATTCATTTGTTCCTTCCCCTCTAAGCACCAGGCGCTGGGAATACTAAGGTGAGGGAAAGCCTCAGCTCCCTAGGGGCTCTCCAGAGGTGCCCACCACTACCATAATTCTAAAGGGTTCAGGGCCCCCACTGCCACTGCCATGCTGCCCCCGGGTCCCCAGCTCAGGGAAGCTGCCTCCTGAATAGCTCTGTCCCCATACCACAGAGGTGATTTTAGGTGGCATCTGGAGATATGAGGGGTCTTCGAAGTATTCCCAGAATACACACATTACAAAAAAACTTACGCATGGATTTCAAAAATTATGCAGCCCCAGTAGGCTCATTCGTCCTCACCATCTTATACCATCAAGTTTGTCAGCTTGAGGCTCCCAAATCAGACATCCAGTCACTCTGGTAGGGACAGTTTCTACAGACAGGCTTAGCTAGGCCTGGCTTGGTCTTCCACAGGTTAGAGGCTAAATAAAGCCTCTAAGGGTTTGGTTCTAGGCCAATTTCTCTAGCAGCCTCCATCTCTTCCAAGACAACCATGAGAATGGAACTAGCAGGGCCAACTCCTGCTGTGATTGTAAGCCCAGGCACTCTGCAGGGAGCAGAATTCAGCCCTGGAGCCATATCTGTTTGCAAGGAGCATCCAATGACACTTGCTGGAAGTGAAGGCCACTGGGTCTGGGGTTGTGCCCGTGGGGAGGGCTTACACAGGACATCCAGAGATTCCTCTCCTTAGCACCAGGCCCTGGGGAAGTCTCTTTCAGCTACCTCTTCAGCAGAATTTAGAGCAGAGGACAAGGACAACCACTGGGGGCCAAACCAAATTCCATCCGCTTTCTCTGCTGGAGGGTGGGGTCTCTGCTCGGGTTCCCTGGTGCTGCAT